TCGCTGCTGCTCACAATCAAAAAGGATCGAACGGCACCAGCTGCGCCGACGCTTTCACCAGTTTAGTTTCATCATATACATCTGCTACTGCGGCCGGCTACTCGGTGGATTACCATTCGGCGATGACGCCGCCGTCGTCGGTCTCGCCACGAGACAAACAGCAGCAACAACAGCAGCAACAGCAACAGCAGCAACAACAGCAGCAGCAGCAACAGTTACATCCTGTGAACGTGATAAGCAGTTACGAAGGCTCGTCGGCGTACGCGGATCCCGTTCTTCGTCACCAGTATGAACCGGCTCAGCCGTTACCCTTAAAACCTCAGGTGTACTCGGCCACTGTCCATCCGAGTGCCTTAGACGCCGCAGCGGCGTATGCCTCGGCAGGCCTGACGGAACAACCGCAGTTCTACCATCATCCAGCCAGTAGCGCCGGCTTCCACATCTACCATCCAAGCAACAAATCGGCGACGAACGGCTGGTACACTTCGGCCTCCTAGTGGCCCCATCCGTAGGGGTTCCATCGTCCGTGTTCGCGGAACACGTGTACTTAAGCGACTGTAATTAAATCCAAAGCCCTCTCCCTCGTGCATATCAGTGATACGCTATCTCGTCGCTATCTTTGGCGATCGTTGACGAGCAAGCCTCGTTGTCGTTCGGATCGGCGGGGAAGTTTCACCACGCCACTCCTTCCTGCCGAGTTGTCGGAACTCGGTGTGTAACAATCGCTCTCTTCTCCATTATGTAGAACGATTTATTGTAATATAATGAATAAATTATTATATATATGTTGACTTTCCGGAGATATTTGCGTAAATATGAAGCCAACTGAAAAACTCATGCGTATTCACCGTGCGTGTTCCAAGTGATTTAACGCGACGCTCAAAGAGATCGTAATATATCTAAGGAATCGCGATTTATTATAAATGTGTAATTTACAGAAGATCTTAATAATAATGTTCATACTTCAGACGATGTACAGAGAAACAAGAAAAAAAGTATCGTTTTTTTCATTTTTAACAAATTAATGAAAATATATTCCAATATTTAGAATATTTTAAAAATAATTTATTATGATTCGGAAAAACTTTATCATTATGTAACATTTTTTCTCATTTTAGGTATTAGATTCATGCTGTGAAGTATTTACATTATAATTAAGAACTATTCTATACATATGTATGTATGTATCAATTCTATATTATTTTATTTTGAATTTCATTTTAGGATGTCTGGGTTTATGTAAATTTATTTCTCCAAAACAAAATAAGTGATTAGACGATAGTTAAAAAGTCGTCAAAATTATTAAGAAAAATCCGAAATTTTCAATTCAAATTACGTTATCTTATGTTAAAATATTGTTTTCCTAATAACTTTGACGACTTTGCTGTTTAATTCTCATTCAATTATTTTGAATAAAGAAATGAATTATTTATGGAAAAAACAGATATCTTAAAACGAGCAAGAGGAAGAAACAACTTCCGAAGATAAGTCTTCGCATTGTGTTAAATGTTATTACCATATTAGCGGTGATTTACTCGAGTGTGGTACTTGCAATATTTTGTACCATATTTCGTTGTGCGATAATTTTTATAAAACAAACGGTACAATCATTTCTCTCTGACACGTTGTAACCTTTATTTTATGAGAGAAAAAACGCTGATAAAATTTATCTCGATATTGTATGAAGTGTGTTTGAAAAATAGCACAACATACTTAAGAGAAATCGCTATCTCTATTAATTCGCGCTCATCTCTTTTAGTCAATTAAATATTGAATTTGTTACTCGGAACGCGCTATGTACATACGATTGGTTAGTCCCAAAGAGTTGTTGCAAGCTTCTTGTTTTAGATTTCGACTTGCGATCGAGGAAGTAGCGAGACTTCTCGGTAAAAAGTAAAGAAAACAACAATTGATTTATATTCGACATACCACTTGTTATCCGGCCGCATTTCAACGATCATGATCTGTAAAAAACGAATTATTAGACTGGCGAACGAATGAAATGCGACTTATACAGCCGTACAGCAATCCGGAAAAAAAACACGAGTGATATTAAAGACACTTTTATTAAATACGCACTGAGATTCTTTACTTATTGAGGACAGGAGACATTTGTATGTATATTTAGACTGCTCTAGCGATATATTACCTTCTAAATGTAGGATAGACAAAAATGTAGATATTGAGAGGGGACACGTATCGCGTAGAAGTCTTCTATACGCGAGAAGTCAACATTGCTCTGGAGGTAGCGAATTCTTTTACGAAAGTTATTGTATTTTAATGTTTAAATATTTCGACCAGTTGTTTTTGACACGTGTAAATACAGCTTACGTGCCTAAAAATTCACTCGCTCAATTCATCACTTTCTTCTGCACTTGATTTAAAAAATTGAAGTATATTTGCAAGTATATATGACAAATTTCTCCTACATTATAGTGTTGATATATAGAAACTTGTAATTACGTTTCGCATGTCTGGATGCAGCGTCACCCAACGAAATAAGTTTGCCAGGTGAACCGTAAGTAAATGTTTCATAAAAAATATCGGTAAGTATATATAATAAAATCAAATATTTATATGAAGGATATTTAAGACATAAATTGTTGATTGTTTTGAGTTTTTGAAAATTTTAGTAACTTTCTTTAAAACGTGCATTGTGCACTAAAAATCTTAATAAAAATACAAGGATAAAATGTCTTAATAAGTCTTAATAAAAATACAAGGATAAAATGCATAGAGGATTTATTTTTATTTAATTCCGTTCTCAATATAAAAAAAGACATATTCATTCAGATCATTATTTTTTTTCAAAAATTTGAGTATTATATTTGCACTATTAGCGATTTATCCATACAGAAATGTGAAAAATGCATGTTTTCTCTTCAACACAATCGTTGTACTATCGATTTAATAGCAAGAAATAACGAATGTGCTATTCGTATAAAAATGACTTATGTACATTTTCATTTTGTATTACACATGCTTATCATTAGTATACAATTATTATTATCATTATCATTATTATCATTTCTGTTGTTATTGTTATTACAATTATTTTCCTTAAAGCTATATTAATATTAAATTACTCTACAGTGAGTTTGCAGATTATGTAAAAAAGAAAAATCTGTAAAATAACCACAAATAAGTGTGTGAAAATAAAATAAATCTAAAAAAAAGTATTAAACGCACTTTGGACGGTAGACATTTCGATTAATACTGCGAATACTATAAAAAAAAAAGAACAAAATATAGAAATAGTTTATCTGTAGTAAAGACAGCTTTGTACATGGAAAATCTATTTATGTTACATAAAACACTCTTTTATGCTCCATTGTCAAAACGCATTTAAATTGGGACGTATAACGACCACACACTTAATCATAAAATGATAATTATATAAGATAATCAATTCTTTTCCTCCTTCGCGTAGTGAACGTAAACGAAATGTAAAAATTAAATTTGCTATCGTAATCATACTTTAAAAAATTATAATCTATGTATATAAATACATACATACATATGTATGTATATATATATATATAAATATATGTATACACACACATATATCGGCAGTCATATTATGCAGAGTTCCGACAAATGTAATATTAAGAAACAATATACTATAAAATGATAGTTTGATGAATATTATATAGTGAAATACGGTCCGAAAAAGCCTAGTCAAAACTTCAGTTCGATGAAGTAATTGCATCTTCAGTTCTATGAAGTAATTACAATCTGAGTTTATACTTTCTTAAATTTATAGCATGACCTAAAACTGTTCGAAAATTATTAGAGAGAATGACAAAATATTTTATATTTTATGTTTTAAAATTCTTTAGGCCTCTTTATAAGTGTGCAACTTTGCTTCCGCCGTTTTTTTCCCAAAATTCAAGGCTTTATTGTAAAATACTGGTTATACATTTATGATTCAAAGTATTGTCCATCGCTGGCCACTACTTTCTCCAATCTTTTGGGCAGCGTACGAATCCCGCGTCGAAAAAACTGGTCATCTTTTGAGGCGACTCACGAATTGATCCAATTTTTTACTTCTTCATAAGACCGGAAGTGCTGGTCAGCCAGGCCGTGTGGTATTGATCGAAATAAGTGATAGTCAGAAAGAGAAACGTCTGGAGAATACAGCGGGTGGGATATGGCTTCCCATTTCAACGTTACCAAATATGTCTTGACCACTTTCGCAACATGAGGTCGAGCATTGTCATGCTGCAAAATCACTTTATCGTGTCTCTTGTTGTATTGTGGCCGTTTGTTTTTCAATACTCGGCTGAAACGCATCAATTGCGATCGCCTGTGATTGTTTCAGTCGATTTTAACAGCTCATAATACACTACGTCGAGCTGGCATCTACAAGAGCTATGCCGGTCTTCGACGTCAAAATCACCGTTCTTGAAGCGTTGAAACCACTCACGACACGTTCTTTCACTAATAGCGGCCTCACCATAAATATTTGAGAGCATTCGATGAGCCTCAGCCGCAGATTTCTTCATATTGAAGCAGAAAATTAAAGCTTCCCGCAAATGACGAGAATTTGGCTCATAAACTGACATTTTCAATCGAGAATAACTTTATGATACAGACACAAATCGACTAATGTTTCTATGGGATTATGTTAACAAATGTTCAAGTTTATTGTATGATGTCTATATCTATTTATTTCGACCACCACTTACCGCTAAAACTACCTATGTATATGAAAACGGCGGGAGCAAAGTTGCACACCTATGATAGTTTTGTCAAACTCTACAGGGAGACACATATATACAAAAAAATCTTTAATAGAATTAACAATTAGATTTAAATAATAAAAAATTTAAGTATTTAATAAAACTATTATATGGGTCTTTAATATTTGTAATAATACTTTTATTATATATGTATATATATATATATTATATATATAAAAAGATCATAGTTAAATGGAGCAAAAGAGATTTTATCCTTATCGAAAATGTATATATAATTTTAGATTAAGTTAATGTGTACTTGTTACTTCTCTCTAACGCATACATATCTAATATGATGCATTTCAGTTTTTAGATAAACCACTCTTTCTTTTTCTGAACTTGATGACCAGTGGCAGAATTTACGACGGCTGAATCCGGATCTAGGGCAATTTCAGCACCTTTATCTTCTTGCGTCAAGTATTCACCTTTATGCCTAGACATATATCTGCCTATAAGAATCGCCATGATCACAAGTGCAATCAGAATAATCGCTAATACGCTTCCTAGAATAGCTGTGTCTGTCTCGTTATATGCCGCTCTCACTTTTTCCTCATCTACTTGAGGTGGTGGTCGAGTCTCTTTAATATATGGCGGATGTGTGACCGGTTCGACTCCGCAGAAGTCTTCGTTTACTGGAGAACCGAGTGAGCGGACGTTTGGAGGTCCGTTCTCTTGAAAGAGTAGCTTCAGTGGATATATATCGTCAAATTCAACTCTTGATATACAGCCCGCGAATCCCTCCGACATAGACTCGTTTCTGCCAATGTACATGTACTGAATATTGTTGAATTGCGCGTCTGCAGAATGCTTTATATTAAATTCGAACTCTTTCGTCTCATAATTATCGACTTGCAATGTTAAGATAGCGCCAGATTTTTTCCTGCCAATCCTGACATCGTGATACTGTCCCAAACCGAAATGCTTCTTCGGAAATATGACTTCCTGCCGCTCGAAACCAAAGTCAAATACTACGCGTAAGTGTCCACTGTTTGAAATCATTATAGTCATGTATTCTCCAGAAATATTGGAGAATAGACCCAATAGAAATCCTTTCGGATTCGTTGTCGTAAAACCAACGCGTATTTTCTCAGAGATAGTGGAACGCCAGCTACCCATGAAATCGTATTTTATCATCGAACTAGGTTTCATATATACACCAATCTCTGAAAATATTTAAATAATATTAACTAAAAGACATTAACAGCAACCGATTATATTGAACATTTTACATTGAAAACTTTTCCTTTCCTACTTACCGTCTGCACAAATTGGTCCCTTAAATGCGGTCCACCGGCAGTCGCACCGATATCCATCGTATGCTTCGTGGCACGTGCCATTATTAAGGCAAGGATTACTTTCGCATCTACCAATGCAACCTTCCGTAACGCCGTACAAACCGCGCCGAGCATAACCTCTCAGATCTTGCAATTGTCCGTTGAGAAGTAGTGCTCTTATGCAACCGACGAATCCGTCCTTGTAATCGATCGTAGAACCAACTACGAAATCTGAGGTAAGATGCAACGCTCGCACTGGACCTGGAGGTTCTCGCACTTCGTTTTTCATCGCTCCATCGATGACGATTCGGGCTTCCTTGCGATTTCTTTCCACTGATACGGAATGCCACATATCGTCACCCAAATTGTAAGATGTTTGCACGCTAACGGTAAGCGGTCCTCCACCGGCCACATACTGGAAATGTATTTGGTTTCCACTGTGTATAGAAATTTTGATATAATCGGTGGGTCCTTTGCTATGAATCATTACAGCATCCTGGACGGTGGTTTTAAACTCGAAATAAATGTCACCGTTGTGCCCAATATCAAAGGTTGGCAAATTGACGCTAGCATCTCTTATGCGGAATGTGACTACATTCTTGAATAAATCTGTAATAATATGTGCCGTTAAAAATTAATAATAATGAATTTTTATTATCTGTATATATTGGAAAAAATTAATAGAAAAATAAATGATTAAATTTACCATCGCCTTCACAAATAAGTGGACCTAACATATAACGACCTTCTTTTTCATCGAGTGGGGTACCAGTATCACCAAAACGTAATTGTTTAACAGGAAGATGTTCCTTCTCTCTAATTTCTCCGCTATCCTCTAACCATCCGTCTAGATCGGCGTCGCAATTGCACCACTTGGTAATATCCTGGCATTTTCCATCTATACCACACTCGCATTTTCGCGACCCGGATAATGCGCCACCCCAATAATCCATCTTCTGATTATTCCGACTGACCCACCACGAATTCGGTCTAAAGTAATCACTTTGGGGAACTGAAAAGGACCAGAAAGATTGATACAAAAGTACCTCGGCAAATGCGACGCAAAATATAATTAAGATACAATTACCTGGAGTATTAAATAATTTGGAACGTTTGCATGCATAACTTATCCTTTGTGTACAGCTTATAGATCGATTTAATAAAGCCTCTATTTGATCAAAATCAGCATCATAATTAATATCCTGTATAAAACTGCCAGGTTCTTGAAATCCATCGACAGGAGTTAATTGCTCATTACTATGATGCAAAAATGTCATTACGCGACCATCGGAAAGTAGCTCGCAAGTGACAGGGAAAGGCTTCAAAGGCCCGCTCCCGTCAACATCGATTTTAATTTCCGCACGCTGATTTACTGCATTCATATTTTTAAATGCCTCGCATGACAAGGGATTTAACGCTGCATAAAATCGTAATATTATTAATTTTAGCAAAAAAATATTCTATATTTTATTTATTTAACATTAACACACGCTAAATACTTACAGGTATGACAGACGGCACCGGTATACCCAGTATGAGCACAATCGCAGAAAAATTCATCAGAATTTTGCCGGCAAACACCGAAATGTTTGCAAGGATTTGGATTGCAGCGATCTACCATCTGACAAGAGTCGAAAACAATTTCGTTCCTACAGCAGTACTCCTCCTCCTTCCAGTCGGTCGGCAATTTATAATTACCATCGATACTTATCATTCTCATACAGCCAATAAAGCCATTATTGCTCTCCGATCCGATCGTACCACCAACGAAATAATACGATCCGGTTATCAAACTCAAGAGACGCTCCGTTTTCATCGGGCGTCCGTCGACATTTAAAACGAGCAAATTTTTAGCAATCGTCAAGATTACTTGATGCCATTTCCCGTCGTTGAACTTCTCGTAAAAATTGTCTAAGGTCGCGACCGGGTTGTCATACGTTTGTATGTCGACTTTCAGTTTACCTTCTTCCAAGTATAGCTGTATAATAAAGATAGGTCAATTTATTTGCGTTATATTTACTAACACAGCATGAAATATGATACTCAAAAATAAAATAAAAATGTGCACAACCTTGACATAACCCGGAGTCGTAAATTTATGGTAAAGAATTATGCCTCTCTCTTCGTATGTTCGAAACGCGAGAGAAACGTTCATAGATCCTACGCCCTCGTAGCCTCTCAGTTTGGCGTAAGATCCAGGAGTCAAAAACGTAACAGGTATTATCGGAGGTTCTGGACAAGCGTAAAGCGTATTAATCTTGTAATATCGTAAATTCTCATCTATAATTTCCGTTTCCTTTAGCTCGCGAATTATATTCGTCGAGTTTAGATAAAAATTCTCTATACAACCGGTAAAATTTTGGATTACCACCAAACCATCCTGTTTATTAGGCACACCGCCGATGTAAAACTAGAACATTTATTCAAGTTAATTTTAATACATTCACATAAATGTTCGATTGCTAAAACGTTTTACGTTTTTATTTAAAAAAAAAAGTTACCTCTCGATTTAAATCCAGTCGATGAAACTCTCCTTCTATTCTACCTTTAATCAAAACTCTGTCAACAGAAAACCAAATATCTTTCCGATTGCGTGAGATTACAACATCGTGCCACATGTTATCGTCCAAAAGACTGCCTACAGATAGACTTGTCATAATACCAGATCCGAGATCAATATTAAGCAACATCCTGTTGTCGCGCAGTTGCAAGGCTATGTAATCACCCTGTGTGCCACGAGAATACATTAATACGCCGTCAGCATTATTTGTTTTAAATCGAAAACGTATAGAATGTCTGTCGGTCTCGATAGGTTCTCTGAGTAAATCCAATCGTATCAGAGAAGATCCGTTAAAGGAAGCGATGTCAGATACTGGAATATAAAGTGATAGATTTGTCATCTTATAAACTAATATACTATCGTTCTGAAGACAAAAGCATATAATCATTATACCATAATCGCATCCGTAAAGTTCGATCCTCAGCGATATCCTATCTCGCCATCGTGTTGGATTTATTCTAATCCATTGTGCAATTATCGATACATCAAATTTATTAAGCTTTGTACTATCTCCATCTACATTACCTTTAAACATCTGTAGAAAAAAAAGAGAAATAAGAATGCTGCTGTTATTATATCAATATTCCGTTTTACTATTTCATTTTCAATGTCAGTTTAATTAATATCGCGACAATCGTGCATAATTTAAATAAATTGCGTGCATGCTATAAGTTAAAAATATAAATACTTTTGTGAGAACAGTAGCTATCAGAAATAGAAAACTGTTTGCAAAACACGATTAATCTCTTAGATTTATTATTATATTATACAGAATACTGATTGCATTAGACCAGTTTGAATATATTAAAAAAAGATTATAAAAGTTATTTTAATTGCACGATATTTTATTGCGCGCACTCAAGCAAAGATCATTCACGTAAATTTTTAATAAATGCGATGAATGTTATCCAACCACCGTTAATTGCAAAAGTATGTACGTTAGTGCAAATTGTTAATGACAAAGAACATTCAATATTAAGAGCAGATGACCATAAGAGAACTATAAATATGGTGTCATTACAATAGATGAAATTTTGGAAAAAGAAAATATTGTTTTTTTTCTGATGATTTTTATACGTGTATATATATTTTTTATAGGCAATGATCTCTTTTTGAGATAATTGATAATAACCGAGCACTAAAATTATTTGTTAATTGTCGTATCATTGAATTTGCCATAGAACTTATACATCAGAACTTATACTCTACTACTCTGTTAAAAAAAGATATTTGACAAAACAAAAGATACATCTGATAATATAAATATAATAAATAGAGTAATGTCTTATTTATAATCCAAGTATTTTTTAGTCTTATCAATAAGCATGTCATAATCTCTTTCAGATATCATAATTACACCATATAATAATTTATTTTAAATTTTCAAACCCCAATAGCGCAATTATTAAAACAGAAGATTCCAAACAAGGTATCTTTTAAATTGTATAAGAAATGTTTTACAATTATTTCGTTAATGGAATTTCTACGATATTCCTATGAAAATGCAACGACTTAGAAATTTTATAATACTCTTATCATCAATGTACATACAATGAAAAAAAATTACTAAAGTTAAATTAATGGGCATTCGTTTATAAGTCGCAATATATCCTTCTAGGAAATTTTACAAAAACTTTGTATTATGATTTAATATAATACAATATATATTTTATAATATAATATTTATTTTATATATTATAAAATATATATTTAAAATTTTTTCTGTGTATGTGTATAAGTGTGTATGTATGGTGGATGAGTATGTGAGTGTGTGTGTGTGTGTGTGTGTGTAGTGTTGTAGGTGAAAGAATTACCCTTTATACAATAAGAGTAAACAAACTGTAGACTCTATCCTTGAAATTTAATACCTCATCTACACCATCCTGGGTTTCATAAGTGGCCCAAGCTTGACCATCATCCGAATATTGGATAATATATTCTGTCACGTATTCATTAGTATGCGCCCGCCCTCGCGTAGAAATGCTGCGTATCTCATATCTCTCCCACAGCTCCACGGTAAGATGTTGATTGTAACTGCTAAGTTCTGGTGACCACGCGGAATCTCCTGTAAAGCCCAGCTCCATGTCCATGTGTAAAAGGAGAAAAGTAGAAGCGGAGCATGCAAATGGATGTAGGAAACAATGAAAAGGTCATAAATTTAATTTATTTTGTGATAATTCTTGCTAGTCAATTCTTTAGCTACAAATCTATATTTCCAAATAAGATTAATTCAGATTTTTATTTAGTTATCCTATGAATTTCTATTCAATATACATGTTATTTTGCATCCCAATGCGTTTGTTTATGTTAGAAAAAAAAAAACGTAATATTTAATAAAGTATTCAAATAATGAGGAAAAAAAACGATTGGTGCAAAGCGTTATCCAAACAAAAATCTGTGTATGTGTAAAGCACATTAAGATACTTACCAGTAACAAACCTGATATTATTTGTAATAAAAAGTTTTGTACAATACTTTATCAACTATTCTATACATATTTACATAGATTATTACACTTTTTGCCACTATTTTCTACAAGCATGCATAAGCAAGCCTTACGTTAGTTCAATTTTATATACATGCACATTTATTAATTATACAAAGCTTCATCGTCATTCAATTGTTATAAAAAGCAAAAGTATTAAATCCAATGAAGATTAAAAGATCAACGGCAGCGAGAAAGAACGAACTTACCTTTGCATGGCCATCTTCTTCCTTATAATCCACATAATCGAGTCCATTGGTACCATAGCTAATACGATATTCCATAACATATTCGTTCTGCACTGATCGTCCTTGAGTTGCCACAGCTGTGATGTTCATCACTTGGCCCAAGTCGATTATTAAATACTGACCGAAATCAGAACTGCTAGCTGTCCATGCGTTTCCGCCTACACCACAACATTTATGCATGCATGCAACTCAAAGTAAACTTAAGAAAGTGCTTACGAATAATGGGACAGAACAGAGCCAGATAATTAAAATTAATCCTAACAATACTTTGCTTTTATATTCAGAGTCTAATTCATATCATTGTATCAAACTTAAAGTATATGTTGCAAATTTAAACTTTTTAGACAGCAATAGAATGCAGAATATATTTAAACATTTCTCAGATATTACATAACATTTCTCCGAAAGAAAATAATAAAATTATTTTTGAAAATGTACTCGTTAACACGAATATACAACATCAGACACTCTCACACTATGAATACAGACATTCTGAATTAATTCTCTTTTTATATTTCAATTGTAAAAAATTTTTATCGTGTGTTTCTCAAGATATATTATGCTTATTCCGTACAAAGATCAGCAAACAATAAGTGAAATTACATTAATTTTTTTACTAATTGTAATATTTTGCATGTAGGAAATTAGTTATAGTCCGTAAGGTAATTAAAGGAATTGTAAAAAGTATTACTTTTAATGCTTTATTACTTTATAATTAAAATAATACACAACGTGTAATATCCACCTTTTTTAGACATATTAAGAAACATTATCTTTGCGTGTTTCAATATTATCTTATGAATAATTAAAATGGTTGTTCAGATTTCATAAAATATCGAGTTATAAATTGTGAATCTATCGGACAAAGTGGAACTGCATGCAACATAAGTTCATCGTAATTCATAATCCTGAATCGGGTATTATGTAATTGTAATGAATTGTCATTTTTTTGTAATGCTACGGTAACGCAATGTTGTGAATCGAGTAAGGATTCTTCGAACAACCAATTTTGCTTAATTCCATTGATAAACAAGACTGTATCGGTTATAATCGAATCTTCGGTTAATTTTGAATTTGTTCGAAAATCTAAAGTTCTTAAGTCAGTAGAAACCCCTGTGCCAATCGCTTTAGTATAGCTTTCTTTTAATGCCCAGTGTCTATTAAACATATACAATTGCTCCGCATTCGATTTACCGCTTCTGATCTCTTCCCATTCGGCTTCAGAAAATTGCCTCTTCATTAAACGAAAAAAATGAGTAAGGTTTCTATCCTTATTGTAATCTAATACCATAATGTCTACACCTACTTTCACGTTTTTAACTTCGCCCGCTAATACCGTATAGGAACCATGATGAGAAACATTAAAATCTATTATAACGGACTTATCTTTCAATACGGGCTTGTAGTTTTCATCTCTGATAAAAGTAATTCTGTTATATGGAATATCGGTATATTCATTGACAAATTTTCTCATTAATAATCTACCGATGAGGGAAGCTCGAATATCTTTACGAAACACAAAATTTTGTAGTTTTTCTCTCTCATCATTTTGTAGACAAGAAGTCGCTTCCTCGAGCACCTGCACACTTGGATCCCACTCTTTCCAGTTAAATGCCCAACGAATGGATGACGACATTCTAGTAATATGGGCGCTAAGCATAATCAAATCGCTGAACTATAATTTGCACATGCACTCTTTGGTTGGTCACACTTGATATATTCGTAAATTATGTGTCTCTGATTATAAAAGCAATGCTTTTCGAAATATTTCGTTTGAGATACTCTCCAGGTTACTTGTTAGCGTCCACCTGAAGCAAATATAAATTTATTATATCATATTCGTTTTGTTTTTAATCCAAAAGATTGTAAGTATTTCCACTTAAAGTACTAGATGATAAAGATAAAAATAAACGAGACGAATATAAAGTGATTGGGCGATGAGTCATGTAGTGAGCATGTATACAGGCTCACCTAATTCTTATAATTGAACGCAGCGGCGGGCAGCGGCCGCTGGCATTAATTAAATTTCTTGATTCTTACCGAAATTTTTTCATTGAGAAGATCGCATAGTATTAGTAGAATCATTTGTAACTATTATTAATGCAAAAACAAAAGCAAATATAGTGCACAATATAGACAACGACAGACTTTGTAGAGATAGAAAGCAAGCAACAAACTACTGCTAGTATCATATAATTTAAATCATATGTATAGAAAATACAATTGTACAATAATTTACGTCTAATAAGTTAAACAAAACCTGGACGTAAAAACTAAGTGGTTAAACATTTCTTTCTTACCATGCAGCCTAGCATTTTTCGGTCCTCTTTCAGGTAAGGAAGTTGTCGCTGTTATACGAGCTCTATCCAAAAGAGGAAAGATGCATTCATCGTCACCTGAGGCATAATCATAATATTTGTTAAAGTATCATACCTTCTTTCTCAGAAAAATGTAAAAATTATAAAATATTCTCCTGGCAAAGGAATATACTGTATGGGAAAAAAAATTCTGTTGTATTTATTAAATAAGCGCATAGCATAAATTTATAAAAGCATCATAAAATTTTGTTATTAAATTTGGATAATCATAATAAGAACTGTATAAAACACAATATTAAAAAAATTTCTAAACCTACATCTTTACATCAATTTTTTAATAAAATTATTAGTGCATGTGCATATAAAATTGTATATGTTTACAATAATAATACCTTTACAACAATAACACAGTAATCCATTAAACAAAATATACGTCTACTAGGAAATTTGGATTGAACATTGCAGATTGGCATCAAGACATCAACATGACCATGAAGTATGTATCTGAGGATCAAGCAATTGAGAGTCAAACGTGGTTCTTAGTACGTAATTGAATATTTATTCTTTAAAAATATTGAACGTTTCGACTCTACTTTGGAGTCATCTTTAGCATAACTAATCTCTGTACTCCTCTGAATGTTTGAGACAAAGTCACCATCAAATTTACAGATCTGATGTGCGATCTAATAAAATATTAATTACGTATTAAGAACAAGTTTGATTTTCAATTACCTGATCCTTGGATACATACTTCATGGTTTTCTAAATATCAAGAGTTCGTAAGGAAATTACACTTGGCTTTGTTTATCAACATGATTTAGTATGCTTTCCTTTTAGAGGGCACACTTGACACAAACGTCGACCTATCCTTCTTAATATTCAATGAATGATAAAAATGTTTATGTCAAGTGTGCCCTCTAAAAGGAAAGCATACTTAGTAATAAATTGTTAGCAGAAATTGAGCAGACTGCCATTTTAACAAACCATTTAACTGGACTACATTAAATTCTGCTCGATTTTTACAGCCAATCTGCTATCAGCTATCATATTCTGCTAATCTGTCGTCTGGCTACAATTTGTCGACAAAATTTACAGTAGAAACTTTGCGAAATCTAGTTTCGATAGATTTAATTAACTCAGAGAGAACAAATTGTCAGATACAAAATAACAAGATGTGTAAAGCCCATTTTAGACAATTCGTATCAAATCAACAGAGATCTGACAGGTTTCTATCTACAATTCATCACAGTTTATCACGCCGTACGTTTTCGTGTACTCACGTACGTGTGTGTGTTTAATGTGCACTTCATGCATGTGTGAACTCTGATTTTTCAAACGTTTCGTATTATATACATAGCACATTGAATCGCAAGCAGAGCACACTTGAGTTATAATTTACAAATAAAAACGGATTACAGATAAAATCTAAAGTGGACTTAACAATCCGTCGTATGACGCACTCGGGCTGCATTACGCATCTCATACATAGGTATTCCCGTGAATAACGCGAGTAATGCCGCGCGCCATGTTACTCGGAGACCCAAGATGGGCTGGGTCGTGCCGTGCCAGGAAGTTACAGTACGTGCCACCATAGTAATGAATAGTGTCGGATTGTACTTACTGTAATACGCGAGCGAGCCCGTTGCTACGGCGAATGCATACACGAGGAACCCAAAAGCGGTCATCGTACCATTGCCTTGCACTTAGAAAAGTCTAGATTCCACTGCGAAATCCTCCCAACTCCGTACGGCAAACCACACAACGAACGTATCCGACAAAAACAAAATTTTCCCTTTCAACTCTCGTCAACTCCGATCCGCGATTTTTCAAGAATACGCTTCGTCACGTTCCTACCTGCTCCTACATACGTGGCCTGGTGTCCTGCGACACGATTCTACGGACGATCGACAGTCGATCGACAATGACGCGTATCGACGAACGAAATGACGCGGGAACGAAAACGCCGATGAACAACCAGCCAGCCACGCTATGCCGCGCCTCGCCCTCGTCTCGCCTCGTGCCGCTGCTGTTTCCAGTGTATCGAATTAGTCATTCGACATTTCGACGCGCTGCGTAAACGTCGCGCCACATCCGTCTTATCTGTATTATCTCTTGCAGGTATTATTTATCATTTTTTTTTTATTAAAATGATATATCGATCGATGTGTTGGCGGCGTCGTGTGACCATGAATAACCAAATGATAATAAGCTGAAATCGATATAGCTATAAAATATTAATTGTAACTTTATTACTATTAAGGTGCAACCACAATAGAAGGAATAAGGAATAAGAAATTTCAGCCTATCAGAAACTATGTATACCAATGTATTCGATTTCTGATAGGCTAAAATTTCAAAGGCGCGCCTTTACAGTCGTTACAGACAGTCGGTATTGTAACATCGATAAAAATGATAAAGTAGATATATTATCCACTGAAAATATCAGTAGCCATAGTTTTCTATGCGCACGTTTTAAAATATGTTTGACAACATAAGTTATTGTAACATCGATAAAAATGATAAAGTAGATATATTATCCACTGAAAATATCAGTAGCCATATAGTTTTCTATGCGCACGTTTTAAAATATGTTTGACAACATAAAAAAGAGGAGGAGGAGGGAGTTGTAATAAGGCATCGGGCAGCAGCAGAACACAAACGTATAATCAACGTTTTATTTATTATTTCAAAGTCACACATGCATACGGAATTATAATTCCACGTTCTCACAGTTCATTTATCTGTTTATTATTTCGTCGTATCTGTATATAGACTGTATATACAAGAAGAGCAACAGATATTGCATTAATAAAACGCCTACCATGCACATAAAACTAGCCGTTGTTGTAAGTTCTATATGTATAACATATGTGTGTCTGGGTTGTCAGAAAAGGTCTCGAAGATGTCTTTTTAGGGTGAAATGTTAAAGACATCTTAAAATAATTACTCTCTCTTTGAATTAATTATTGATTCAAAAAAGAACTCGCGTTGTCTGCGAATATTACGAGCACTGAAAAAAGATCAACTCTGCTGCTACAACAACCTTATTTACTTTGGTGATTGCTATAAAAATTATAAATATATATAACACGCGCTGTAAAAAATTTGGTCGTTAAAAATCGTACAAATTCAATATCAATTAAGATTTTACCGTAAAACATAAGCGAAGAAAATATCACGGAAATAGAGAAACACAATTTTTTAATATATTTAAATAAATTATAAACAAATGTGTTGCGATTCTCCTTTTGTCCACAATAAACACTCCATTTTTGTTCGATCGTACACATTCTAATCGGTCATTTTCCTTTGAAGCTCATTTTATATCGCCAAAATGCGACATCTTCAAGATAACGATCGTTTTTGTTGAAGAAAAATTTCAATTGTAATCGTATCAAAAATCCGTTCATTCACTATCGTATAATACGGCATTTTTCGACGTGAACCCATTTGCGTCTTCCGCAAGAAGACTAATTTCGTTAATTGTGAATCATCTCGGATGCGGGTACGTTTGAGACGCGGAAGCGAGGGCGGAAGTAGTTGAAACAGCAGCGTCGTTCTTTTCCGTGGACACGGACGGTACGTGCCGCTCTCTCGACATTTCCACGTTCTGTTCTTGCGCTGCGTTTATAGACGCGATTACGATGGAATACGGTGGAGGATTCTCGAATTTATCCTCGTTGGACGGATTGATGGTCGTTGACATCTGAGTGGGCCTCGATGTTCCCTGAACGGTCATCACGGACGCGTAAGACGGTGGTAAATCTGGAGAAGAATGCACCGCGTATGTCGACGATCCCGCCTGCAAAGTATAGTACGAACACGCGAAATGAATTTAGCTCCTTTCCTTTGGGGACGTATATACTTATATACGTTATATGCCGCATCTTGTAAAATTATACTTTGTCCGTATTACACGATTGATAGATTTCGACACTTGTTCAACTTATATCGCGAAAATTTACTCTTAAAATTTTTTGGAGTGGACTTTCACTTTAAAAAAAAAGAGTTGTTCAATTGCCAATCTTTAAGAGTACTGCAGGATTTCACTTTTTATTAGAGTGACAGTCACTCTGAGGCCGGAATCAGACTACGCATTGGAGAGATTATCGATTAAAGATTGAAAATTATGCAACCACATTTTATGATAGTAATTTGCATTGCGATTAATAATATGGCTGTTTTAGGTCCGTTTATTTAAAGATACTATTTAATCCAAATTTTGATGATTTAGTGCAAGTTGAGACGCAATTAAATTTAAGAAATGCCGCCTATAATAACACGTGCAAATAAAAAGAAGAGAATTGTTGCTCTTCTACTTTTAATTAAATCGTTAAAGAGGAAACTTATCAGAACAATAATCATCATATGGACAATTAAATCCGTATCTTTTAAAGAGGAACTGGAGAGGCATGCATCATAATCTTTTTAAGGAATTATTTTTAAAACCCCCTCCGCAACACTGCCGTCAGTTCTTTGCTTCTATAGAAAAAATATCAAATGTCCATCTTTGCTTTCTTCGCTTTGATTAGCCAAAATCCAATCTCCAATATGCAATCTCAATCTGCAATGCGTAGTCTCATTCCGGTCTAAGATTGAAATTTGGCCAATAATAGAAGCTAACATTCTTTTATTCTTCATTGGTCAAATTTCAATTTTCAATTTTTAATCTCAATCTTCAATGCATAGTCTGATTCCGGCCTTAAAGTGTCAGAGAGTATACATACGTAACGTATAAGACCAAGTTTCACAACTCATGGTTAACTCTTAATCGAGGTTCAACTTATTCTTTATCTCTTTCTAATTCTAGAATTGGAAAGAAATGAGAAATAAGTTGAACCTCGGTTAAGAGTTAACCGTGAGTTGTGAAATTGGACCTAAGTGTACCATAATCTTTTTTAAGGGGGAACACCAGGGTGACGAGTTCAAAAAATCGATTTTTTTTTGCATTTTTGTAATGCTTGGAGTCTTAAAAATATGTCCCTATAATATTATATTGAAATTCCTAACGGAGAACAATAGTAAATATGCCATCAGTCGCGCGCTATACCTGAAAACATTCAGCAGTCCCTTGATCTGCTTGTAAGCAGTTTTACCGGTATTTTTTTTATTGCTTGTATGCTTCAGTCGTGAAAACTTCATATGCACCCGGATTGGACGCACTTTGGTTCGTTACGAAATTTCATCGTTTTATATAAACTAATCGGTTGTAAAATTTTAAACGTGTTTATCTCGAAACCACGTCTTCGTAACTGGGCGCTCACATATCTTGACCAATTTTTATCCGAATGACTTGAATTTTGGACAGAATGTTTACAACGAAATTGTCTTCAGTTGCCGTACGAAATTTTCAATCGGATTATTAGTTTTTGAAAACAACAATTAAAAAGATAACGATTTTTTTTGTCGCAAAATCGTGACCTTTTTTTTAAAACAGCGCCATTTTGTCTAAAATTATTTTATCAAAAAATTCTCGTACGTGTAACTGAAACTACACTCATATATTACTTCAAAATAAAATTAAAAAAATTTATTTCAGAGCTCCCCCGTTCAGACGCAGCACGAGCGCCCGTGCACCCATGTTTTTTCAGACGAGGTGTATACATCAATGAGTACTGAAGCTACAAATATTAATATCATTCAATGAATTTTTTTTAATAATTTCGTAAATGTATGTACTTCGCATATATAAAAACAATAATTCATACAAGCTATCAGTTAAAAAAAAAATTCACAAAAAGAGTCTTTTTTTTTCGGCCGTCACCCTGTTCCCCCTCAAGAATAAGACCGCTGAAAGATACATTTAAAAATTCGAAATCGATCGCGCGGTGAAAAATAATAAATCAATACCTGTCTGCGATTGGCAGTAATGTCCGAAATAGTCCGAATCGCCGCTCTTTGTTGCTCGATCAGAATTCTCGCGTGAGTTCTTTTCACGGTGTAAACGGTATATCCGCAAACCAGGAAGAAAAGTAGTGTCAATATTACCAAAACAACCCACATGTGCTCCCATTGCAGTAATATCGAGGCTATCATCGCCGTCGTCACCCATGCGACCAGAATAGTAGCCAGCATGCGGCCGGAGCAATCCGCATCCTGAATAAGTCGCATTATAGATATATGTATAGCTTTCTCAAGTGGATTCACCCCGTCTAATTGTAAGACGAAACGCGTGCTTGAAGTACTGTCTAGTTTTACTCCCTCGATAGTAGCGATTCTGCTACTTTTCGTATCAATGATTAACGATAAGCGACTTAAACAAAGAGTCCAAGATCTCGATAGCGATCGGCGAACGCGAACGCTGATATAAGTCACCGCTGATTAGCAGCGTAAAATTATCGTATCAAATTGTAATCGATAATTGCCCCGAGCGAATATTAAATTATTCAGTAAGGCGGTATACATACCAACAGGATCAGAAAAAACATCTTGGATACGAGACAGTCGGAGAGGGAGATATCCTCCTCGCAGTAGTTATTAATCTACACGGCTTATCGCAAGCGTATACTACTTATTTACGATGACAAATAATCCCGGAGTTGATACACAAAGTGACATATGCTTTTCACATCTCATTCGTATCTTCTTGACGTGAACGTATTTTTAGAAAACTTGATTATTAAAGTAATATATAATATATATATATATATATATTAATAATCGGATCAATACGATCGGATTTTTGTGTACCGAACCTGTATTGATTTGTAAAGCATCATATCGTACCGTTTGAAGCAAGGTGCTCATATTGTTTTACAGCGCACTAACGTTGCGTAACAGATCGCAGCGATACCTGAACGTAAACGAAAGTATTTAGACTCGTATCACCCATCGTTTATCCAGACGCTTCTGTTCCGAGGGACGCTCGAATTTGTTCCGTTGGAGTAAAACATTCTAGTATAAGTAACAGATACAAGTCTCAGTGAGAAATCCAACTCAGTCCTCGATGCAACTTCCTGCAGGTTGCATAACGTATGCAAATTGCCGTTTGCGAGCGATAAGAAATACTGGAAAATTATTTTAACGATTAGGATGTAGAATAAATTGTGCGGCTAGAGTTCTATAACAGAGATTGGCCACAAGTGATTTTATCAAAATCTTCGTGAAATTAAGGTATATATTTATATTTCTTCCCTATACTGTCTTTATAACTTATACTATCTCATCTTCATAACTTAATCCTTATATAGAGTACATGGATCACTTCAGCACATTTCTTTTTTTCGAAAAACTAAAAGCATCAAGTATAATTAAGAGATACAGTATTTTTTTTAATACACAACCTTACAAATATTTTCTAAAGATGTTAAAGTATATAAGAAATCGCTTAATAATTTTTATACATTTGTTAAAGTGATATAAAAATTAAGCCGAAACATGAATGACTCATCGCTTACGTATGTAACAAGTCTAGAAAATTGTAGTGGGTACTAAAAGTTAATTAAGATAATAGAGTAAAATAGTGTAAGTTAAAGTGAGATAGTACAGGGAAAAATATAATATACTTTTCTCTGTCTCAGTTTTTCTATTGTACCGTTATAGGGTCTCTCGTCAATCGTGGCGAATGTTTGTTAGGTTCAGACAGTGAGATCGCGAACGAGATGTATACGTGTATCTGTCACTCGATCGCGTACCTTGTGTGTCGCAATGTCGCGATCAATATATTAAAAACTCGCGATTATCACTCTCGAATGCGATGTGACGATCGCCCGGTGCGTTGTACCGAGGAACGCTTGCGTTAGTTGCAATGAAACTATGCAACTCCAAGTAAAATTATTGCAACTTTGGTCACAATTTCAGCCAATGATGCAGCGTTAAAAACTGAAAAACAATAAGTTTCTACCTTTACGACGACTTAACGATAACTACACGATAAGCGAATGCAGACCTCCTCAATGCCGTTCAGCGCGGTTATCATCTAACAATGACGTGTACCATTTTAACGCAGATAACGAGACGATATGCATAAATAGTCTAAATTGTCTAAAGTATGAAAAATGTTACCCTCTGCGGTAGAACACAATAGATAGGTCGTATACGGAATATACATGTATAATAAATTAAATATATATATACGAATATATAAAATGAGAGACATAATCGTGATTACGTTTGTGATATATCAAAGATCGTGTCGATTTAAATTTATAGCAGCAGGTACAATGTAATTTTCGCCATTTGCTGTATATATTCTACATTGCGTTATATTTTACAATCCGAATGTCAGTCGCTGTTTCAGAGTTGTCCGTATTGGAAAAGACAATTCGCATACTATTATTTATGATAGATTGCGCGATATCAACGCAGTTTTCTCTTATCTTGTGTTCACAAGTACGATAATGCCCAAAAAGCCAGCTTGGAGTTTATAACTTTAAGAATGACAGAACGCGAACGAGAGATGTTGCTTTTATTCAACGCGTCATCCGTTCGACATTAAGTTTCTTTTGTTAAGAAAAAATACATCGAAATACTTTTCATATACAATGTGGATGTCCTAACAGATTAATCTACGAAATGTACAAAAAAAAATCCAACGCTCAGTTACATATCACAATTGTTAATCGTATTAAAAAAGAGATGCATATATAATGTCAATCAGGGTCCAAATAAATTATTGATACTCGATAAAGTTTATAACATTCGCCGGCGATCGCGTTAAAAATGATTATATTTTTATACTTGTGTATATAAAAAAAAAGTATAATAATAATAATGATAATGATGATGATGACGATGATGAAGATGACGATGACGATGATCATTTGGACCGCGATTAAGATCTTCCTTGTTTGTACCATTTTTTTTTCTCCGTTCTTCAGTCTGTTATTTTTATTATGCGTTTAACCACTTCCTAAATATAAAGCGACAAGATCTATGTCAATTTCGGGTCCGTTTGACATATATTAATGTGCCGCGAACGATGTCGCGCTAATTTCTTATTTCTAAGTGAAGACGGTGAAGATACTAATAGATAATAACTCTAAGCAAAATTGTTTACAAATTTTCTAGAACATGCCAAATGCACACGTCCTACCTTCATCGTTCAGAAAAAGTGGGCCACGACATCACGGTCGCGTTGAATCGCTCGACTAATTGGGAACGAATCATTTGAGCAATTATTATCGAGAGTCGTTTTCCTCGATTGTACAAAAATTCGTGGATGTGAATGTCGAATGGAAGGAACAGGATCGAATTATAATGGCATTCGATAGAAGATGATAGCCCCTTGTTTAGGGCAATAATCGCGGATTAAAACGTCCCATGTGAAGTATTATACCGGAGGGATTGTGTCGGACGAAATATAAGAAGGGCCTGTCGAGCTTCAATCTCGGTCTCTCCAAAGATCCCGAGAGCTGCCTCTCCTCTCTGTAGAATCCGTACAGAACTGTGCGCGATTGGTCTACGTAAGAATCGATATTATCCTCTTGCGGCAACGTGCCGTATCTCAATGTATCTTCCTCAGCAGCGTTTCCTCCGGAGTTATCGTCCTCCGTTCGTCGTTCAACGTTTCTCCTTAATGGACTCGCGGGATACGTTTCCACGTGATGCCGGCCGCTAAGAATATTCTCGTCGCCGCAGGTGCTGAATAAATTCATCTACGAAGAAAATTCATGATTACAAGCATCGTTATCGCGCCTCCATTAATAGGAGGTATCGAGCAGCAGACGGACATATGTACGTACCTGTAACACGTCGGCTAAGTGAAGACGATGACCTACGCCGTTGATACCCTTAAAATCGGCGTTACCCGAGAAGAGCTCATCAAGGCCCATCCTCTTCAAGGCGGCGGTCGCGTTGACAACGGATCTGTGACTGAATTTAGGCACCTGCAACTCGAGACCGTGCCTCGGTATGAGAACCTTGAGGAGCTTATTCCAGGCTCCGTCGCGGAACGCGCTTCTGACGAGGCGCTGCTCAAGACGGTCCAGAGTGTCACCGGGTGCAGTGTGACCCTGCTGACCCGGCAACACGAAGATCGTCGAAACCAATTTATCGCTGCCTCCGAGAGCGACCGCCGTAGCGTCGATGCTGGGCTCGTAGCCGGCTAAGACAGCAGATCGCCAAGTCGTAGCTGGGACCGGTACGAGTTTCCTTTGTCTGACAGCCGGCGAAACAGCGAAATACAGCTCGCCGTCCCTACCAACGGAACTTGTCAGACTGCTATTACAGTCGGTCTGGAACACGTTGGCGGAGAGCGCCGCTAAAGGTGATCTGAGCGGCACCGTGTTCGTCTTAACGAAGTCCTTGATTCTGCCGCCAGTCTGCTTTCTAACCAGCAGATTCGTTCTTCTGCGTACGAGATCGCTAATAGTGGCGAAGTTCACTTCGGTCACGAGGCCCTCGTAGAATTGCTGGGCCTGCTCCTTGTAGAAGGGCATGAGTTTCCTGACCTTCATCTTGTCAGCAAACAGCTCGCGGACGAAGGCAGCGTTCGCGATACCCTGGCCACGGGCCAAACCTACCGCGTCGGTTATGTTTTGGAAGACCAAATGTGGATTGAACGTGGCCACGTCGTCCAAGCCGAGTACCTCGTTCATCTGATCGGACGTCGGGCCGCGAGCACCCAGGAAGATCATCGCCAGTAAACTGGTCATACCGAACGGCGAGAGTGCCAGTGATCTCGCGGTGCTCAGACCCTTATTAGTGGCTACCCAGAAATTGAAGGCCAACTCGTTGCATAACTTGGCGAAGTTTACGATATCGGCGCTCGTGTGTCTTATGGTAGCGTCTAAGCCAATTGCACTCTGAGACGCGTCCAGCGGTAGGAAAGTCGAGGACGGATGTGGTTGTTCTTGCTGATGTACCGACGTTTCAGGTCCCGGAGAACGGATGTGGGTGTTGTCATTCGAGTTGAAAGGCGGTAACGACGACGATGCCTGGGCGTGATTGACTGGTTTCCTCTGCAGCGGCTTCGGCAATTTCGGCGGCTTCGGAAGCTTCGATACAGTCGGCGGAGTCTGTTGCGATATAAGCGTCCACTTGTCCTCCACATCGATCTTCGTGATGTCGGGCTTCTCCGATGGCTTATAATCAGGCCTCGACGTTTGACGGACTGGAACACTCGACGGTGACGTCGACGCTTGCAAACGTATCACGTCCGGCTTCGGCGTACTCTCGGAATGTTTCAAAGAGGCAGTCTTGCTCTCCGTATTATTCGAATGCTCGTCGTTCTGTATTGATGCGTTGGCCGTTGATGTAGTCTGCGTTACATTTTTGTCACTCTGACTTGACGTATTATTGACAAGATTATCAGGCCGGAAAGTATCTCCCTTACTTCCATTTGCATCATTCGTTGAGTCTTGCGTTATTTTGACTGAGCTATTGGTATGTCCTTGGACTGGTACAGAAGAAGATTCATTGTTCTTATTATGCTCTTTATCCTTGTTCTTGTCAGCTGTACTGGTAACGCGATTTGGCTTCTGCGGAAGTGCAGGATCGGTAGAATTTCTGTTTGTCAGGATAGCACCGTCAGACGTAACATTCGAGAGGGAGGTGTTCCTTGTGACGTCACTGTATGCTTGTGAACTCGACTCCGAGATAGAATCATTAATAGAATGAATCACTACAGTATCCTTCGTTATTGACGAAACATTTGCGAAGGAACCGTTCTTCTCGTTTAACGCCTCTATTTTCGAACTGCTTCCCGCGTGTTCTGAAGTTTTGGTACCATTCGCGACTTTTACGGATAACTGATTAGATAGTTCGGGGCTCAAGTCTGTCCTCTGCACAATTGGTGCTTCCGTCGTTTTTACCTTCTCTTTGCTTTCCGTTTTCTTCTGGTTGTTATTTGTATTAACGTTTATCGTTGTTGTCGTCGTCGTCTGTTCAGGTGTTACGCTAACGATTCCCACGGTTGTTGCGTTCTGCTTAATAGTATCCTTTGATTGACCATTGACATTTGTGAATTGATTTACTGGCGATGATAAAGTTGCTTTCGTGGAATCGTCTATTCTCTCGTTACTACTTGATAAATTAGTCGGTTCTAAAGTATCGTTCGACTCTTTGGTCTGCGTTAAAGTACCGTAAATTAATGTACCGTTTCGAACTGGATCCGTTAATGCCTCTTGCGTCGATTGCGTAACGTTTCTTTCCGTTTCGTGTAATTTAGTGACGTTTTTGATTTTTTCTTCCTCGATGGTCGATAAGTTCGGCGCGTTCGTCGTTGGAAATCCGGCGATAAGGCCACTCGCAATGTCACCAGCTATTTCCACGACGAAATTCGATATATTATCGGGTAAATCGATCGGCTTTATTGCGGAAGTACTGGACGGTAGTGGCGCGATACTTATTACTTTGTCGATGGCAGACACTGGATCGCTCAAGTTCAAATTCGCGAGAGTGCTGCTGAAACTTTCGACTGTCGTAGACTTATTCAAAGATAGACTTGTGTCGATCGACGCGGTTGTTGGTTGAGTTTTGGTTGCATCAGACGTTACCGTTTTACTATCAGATGAATCCAAGTATGAAGTAGTCGAGGTCTTTTCTAATGCGATTCTCTCGGTGATACCTTGAAGAGTCGCGGGACTTATAGTCTGACTTGCCGGCAAAGAAGCGGCTGTAGCGTGTGTCTTGTCGAGCTGCACGAACGAAGACGCTGTTGATCCCGAAATCTGGATTTGAGTCGATTTAAGTCCAGAAGGCGTTGTAGCTAAATTATTGCTTGTTACTCTATTATTCGTCGTTCCGACTTTAGTCGAAGCTGTCGTCGCTTTAATTCGAGAGTTCTCGGAAATGCTGCTCGTGCTTGGTTCCCTGTCCACCGTGCTGACGGGCCGATAAGTGACGGAATAATCGACGAACTTGGTAGTGGTGTCTCGCGACGGAATTTCGGTAGCGAAGGTCTCGTAGGTTTGCGTATTAATAACAGGTCTGACATTCTTTTCGTTCGTCTCGGACACGTTGCGCCTCTGCTCGTAATTAATATTCAAGATCGGTATCACCGGCGTCTCGTTCGATGGGGACGAGAGGGGCAAGACTGGTGGTTTCACTTCCGAAACTTGATTTATTACACTTGAGAAGGCATCGATTAACTGCGTGGGTAACGGTTCTATCGACGCCGAGGATTGAATCTCGGTCGGTAGAGGATTAAAATAATTCTCTCCGTAAGTCGATGTAACCGGGCTCGATGAGTCTTTCGTAACCGTTGCGAAGCTTTCGGTGAGATAATGATGCAACGACGTCGAGACGGTCGGGGCCTTGATTCGCGTAACGGAAGCGAGCGTAGACGGTGAATGCGGCGCGTTAGATGCCGCCTCGGGTTTCGAAGACGCGTGGGAAATCGGCACTAAGGTAGCGAGGGTATGGGTCTGTGGGCTTATTATGTCATTGTATGTCCCGTTCGTTTGAGATCCTTTCGTAACGCTCGATGCGAACGAAGAATCGTCGGATACCTTCGTATTGTTCCTGCTCTGTATAAGAACGTAAGTTGCGTTCGGGGGAGAGATCTCGTCGGTCGTCAGCTCGCTGGACCCACCGTGCTGCGTTACGGTCTGCTGCTTCGTGGAGGAGAAATGCGTCGATGCTACTGGCGTGGTCATCGAGTAGATCGCCGAGGTTTCTATCTCTTGATAGATTTTGTTATTGGTAGTCGTCTGCTTCGTGATACTTACGGGATACATATCTAAGCTCGTTAGCTGCGGGAACGTTGTTTCTTCAGGCACCTCCGTCAGAGCTAATTCGACATACTGTTCCGTTGAACTCTCCTCGGTCTGAGCAGACAGCTGAACGGTGGAACTCGCGGCTGTAGACGGATCAGTCTGACTTTCCTTAATTCCAGCACTCTCGACCGGAATCACGCTGACTATTTGGAAGACGGGACTTTCGGTAACGGCGGATTGCAACGTGGACAGCTTTAGTTCCGTTAGAGTAATAACTGGAACTGGTATCATCGGTTTCTCGGTAGCCGGCGTTTGCTGCGAGTAATGAGGTTTTCCCTGTACGTTATTAGTAAAACCAGCGTACGCGTTCGTCTGAACGTCAAACGTCGCTGGTTTTTTCGTCGGGTGTTTCGACGCCGATTCAGTTTCTACCTTCTCTGTTGTCAATTTATGCGACAGTTGACTGGAATCGCTGTTCGGGGAGATCGAGTCTGCCTCGCCAGATAGAATTGAAGGCAGAATATTGCTCCATTCAACGTTGGCGTGTTCCGGAATCTTCGGTATCGAACCCGTTAAAGTCGGTGGCTTATCCAGTGCGCTCTTTAACACGTTCTGTACCTTTTGTACTACATCCATGACCTAAAATGCGACGTGGAATGTGTTAAATCCGTAAAAGAAGAGGTGTGACTATTCCGTTAGCTCCTACCGCTCGTTTTCATTTGCTTCATTTCTATATATCTAAATATAATCTAACATTTTTAGAAATCTCAATACTGAGTTGTCGAAAATAGTTTGCGCGAAAAATTTAACCCGACCTTAAAATAAAAATCTGTAACATGATTACTGAAATAAATAGATTTGAAGCCTAAAGATTCATTGAAAAAAAAGTGCAAAGTATCGATAATGCGATGCTTAAAGTTAGTTGTTTCAAAGAGTTAGTTAAAATTATTTAAAAACTATTTCATTTGATTGCGATGAAAGCGAAAAAGTTCTTCTAAACGCAGTCTAGTGCGAGAATAAAAAACAGATCTTATATGATTATTAAACAAGAGACAAAGGACACGAAACAAGTGAACCGACCTTTTTACCGCCCGTCAGGACATCATCGGCTTTTTGAGGCTCCTGCCTGTCCATCGCGATGTGATCCGTCCCACCTGACGCGATAAGACCTTGAATTTCCTGAGCGGTCATCTGCCGCGTAATCATATCGCCCTTGTCGTCGTAGGTATAAAACTGAAACTTGTCGGGCCGCAAAAGTCCGGCCGGAGAAGCGACCAGTTTGTGGCTGGACTGCGTCTCGTTTTTGCCGTACGGAGGATGAAGCGCGCGTCCATCGTACTGCTGACGGATAATTGTTGAAGTGGCCGTACTGCAAAACGTACGAAGGTAATACGCCCAGAATATTATTGTATCGCCACTTTTCGGTGTTATTAAATCTTAATCTAAGGATTTATACGTAAATTGAACGCGACGCGTTCAATATCGAGAGGTCGATGTAATATAATAAACGTGCGAGGCAGTGCATCTATTCGTTCATTTCTCACGTTGGACATTCCCTCGTTTGCTTTTCAGCGAGTTTGTTTTCTTGAATTCAAGTGATCCCCCGATAGTTCCAGAAGAGCGAGTTGCGAAAACGAGGGTGTGTATATCAACGAGAAATCTACACCGAACTGATAAGAACGAACGAAGGTTCGATGCGAGCGCGCAATTTTCCTAATTAGCTCGCTCGTTAAGATCAGCGGACCGTCTGGCATCACGGGAACTAAACCACGGTCTCTAATAATAAGAGCCGACTGTGTTTTTCCATTCGTCCTCTCTTCCGCATTCTCCATCCTGTCTTTCCCAGACGGGGCGCGATTTTTATCGGAATCTACTGTTCGTATTATCTCATCTTTAACTCGTCCGCGTTAATGGAATCGTGTTGATTACGTTGATTCGCATTGTTTCGCTGGTGCGCATTGTTCTAAATCCGCATTTACCGTACAAATTTACATGTTTTACGTACATACGTGCACGCGTGCGACGCGCAACTTAAGCAAAATACTGACCTACGATCAAACGTGTCCGCAGACACGTGCGAATGTTCGTCGTGAGCCGGTAAAGCCACACCTAACTGCAAGCTCGTCCAAGACACGATTAATGCCGGCAGTAGCCAGCGCAATCGTTGCGACATGATAACTCTTGATTCTCTGAAAACGGAAACATAATCCGAGATATTGAGAAGCGGCAGTTGCATTCCTGTACAAAGTTCTTGTTTTTTTTTTTTTTTTAAAGCACCCTCGAGATCAAAGTTTTTTTTTTAGAATAAAAGGGTAATCGAAAAATAATTTCCAGTCAACACTAATTAAAAGTAATATAACATTAATGCGTTTATGTATAATTTAACACACGCACATGGCGTTGCATAACAGTTCATCGTTGAGTGCAAAATTATAACATGGCGTTATGTTATTTTTAGGTGACGTCGACTGGATAAATGATGGAGAATTTAAAAAGGTGAATCTAAAGGGAATAAAATGTTTTACCGCGCGTTACCAAGATCCGTGCACGAGCTAGCCAAATAACGCGACACGATAGAACAACGTGAGAATAAAAAGAGCCGTGAGGGAAGGAAAGAGAGATAGGTCACCGAACCTTCCAATTTTTTTGCTGGTTGTTGTTACATATCGGTAACCGGTTTTACGTCGCCCAGTTACCTCCCAGTTCTTCGCACCGATTCCAATGCCTAAATCCGAGGGTTGATCTCACAATTAACACGTTTTGGATCGATCTCCGTATCTCGATAAGATAATCGCGAGCATTTATAGATCCGGCGCGTCTAACTTCCTCTCTTTTCCTTCTTCCCACGTATACTCTCGTATTCTCGAATCGTCCGAAAGACGCGCAAAAGTCGACAGGTTGTCACGCAATTCCTTAAGTCGCACTCACACTTTGCGAACGAAGGTAGACTCCCTGGAAAAGTCATTTAATCCCGTCGAGAGGATTCTCGTCAATGACTCCACCGGTGCGACAACTCGATGATTAGCTGCTGCTGCTGCTGCTGCTGCTCGACACCACAGACGTGTGACAGTCAGCGAACTCGCGATAAAAAGGGAAAAACGTCGGACGTTCGGCGAGTATCTATGGCGATCCCTCGGTGCAGCTCGATTCCCTCGCGCGAGAACGCTAACTATAGTCGCGATCCCTTTTCCCCTTTTCTGCTCCTTCGCGTCTGCCTTCTCCGTCTCACTCTCCTCTCGCTCCCTTCTTCCCTTCTTCGTTAAGGGATCAAGGACGTTTAGCAGTTGAGACTATTTTGCGGTCGACCTTGCTGTCCGACACGCCGGTGTAGCGACCTCGGCGATGATTACGGAGCGCGTTCCGCGAAACTCCTCCCTTTTCTTATCCGCAGGGCCCTTTCTCGCGCGCGCCTATATGTACTTCGCTCCCTCTCGTGTATCCGCTCCGCTTCGCTCGCGCCACTTGACACGACTCCGGGGCGGTCACTCTTCCTCTACGCCGTTCGTCCGCGCTCCGCTTCTTCTGCCGTCTTGTACCCTGGATAAACACGTACTGCAAGGTAGGATCCTTGGCTGGTACCAGCGCAGCGGAACAAGAAGCAGAGGAGATAAGGAGGAGGGGAAGACCGCACTCCTCCAGGGTATAAGACAGAGAAAGGACTCTCTCTCTCTCTCTCTCTCTCTCTCTCTTTCGCCTCTCTCGCGAGAGAGAGACGTCGCTGTTGCGTCGGATGGACGGAGCGGATTACGCGGAAACAGTAGGTGACCGCCGCGCGCGGTGCACTCCTTTTCTATTGAGAGATCTATACGATTCCGATGGGTATCGATTAGAATCGCGTAGAATTTTATCACGTGATTGAAGCTTGTCTCCTTTCGCCTCCGCCTCTCCCACCTCGAGTTTCGTCATTCAACGTCTCAGCTGCTACGAATCTCATCAACGGGGCGGGGGGAGGAGGAAGAGGAGGCCTGCAAATTTTTCCTCAAACGACAAAAAACGTATATGCGCGCGTGAGCCAGGCCGACGACGATTCACGTTGATTAACGGTACATCGACCGAATGAGCTGTCGTATGTGACGTATGAAATCGCGAAAGAACCAACGCGATGACGGATCGCGAAAACGAGGGATTTTTCGGGACGATCTCTCTAGGAGTTTGGGATTTGCGATCGACGCTGATGGTTTATCCCGAATTCCCGACATCGAGCAGCGTGAAACGCCGCGAGCGCGAGCGTATCCTTCACAATCGAGCCGCGTGCGACTCATTCTTTACGCAACTCATTCATAAGCGAATCAATCGCCGCGCGGCGCGGCGCGGCGCGGCGGCTCGGTCGGAATAAATTTCGGACATGTCCCCTCCGACTCTCATCGTCCTCGAGCGAACGGGAAGAGCTCGTTACGGCATTGACAATCGCATGCGGAAACAAAACGATTTTGCTCCAAGTATCCAAAAATTCCTGATTATATATTATATAGATACAGATTTGAAAATAATTTTGTTGGATTGTCAAATAATGTATCGCGCCCGAAAATCGTTCGCTGAAATATTCAAACTTCTTACGGTTCATCCGGTTCATCGTGTTTTTCAGATTCCTGCACGTAATTAATTTGACGATTCAGAACTATTTTTCGACATACATCTAGCAAAATTTTTTAACAACAAGGATAAATTTGCCGAGATATCGGAAGATTTAGCTGGATGTAACAGAGGATAATAATTATGTAGGACGCTCAAATTAACTACGGTTGCTAGAATGTTGAAGCAGTTACGGTATCGCTCATCATGCTTGAGATCTCGGTAATTACGTTAATGATCGAACAAAAATGATTTTCAAATCCGGCTGGAACTTTTAGATAACTCAGCAAAATTCGTTCTTCGAGGAATTCGCGCGTAGAGGAAGAATTACACGCGGCGCGACCTGCTCTCGCGTCAGGTCAGAGCGGAGCGAGTCGCGCGAAACCGCGAAAAACGATAGACGTAAGTTTGACAGCGATCGCGCTGTCGGGGAGACGGACGGGCTCGCGAGAGAAACCCGTTTTCTCGCTTCTTCGCGCGACTACGTCTGGCTGCTTGAAGTTTTCTGTGAACGTCGAACATGCGCGGGTTAATAAACAGCCGTCCCACTTGCACGACTGTCCATCCGTAACCCACTGTTTACCAAGACAACGGTACCGCCGCGCCAGGCCGCGCCGGATTAAGGTTTATCCAACGGTTTACCTATCGACAAATTTAACGTCGGTCGGGGGGAGGGGGGAGGGGGGAGGTAGGGTTCCCCCCCGTGCCCCCCCCCCCCCCCCCTCTCTCTCTCTTCACGCGCGATGATTACGATCCGATTCGCAGGTGGGCCGATATATCGGTCTCGTCCTGAAATTACACTTCCGTTCACCAGCAAGAGGCCCCCTCGTGATTCTTTCCAACGACGTTCGGTTCCCCTCGCGATTCCGACAGCGGGGAACGTGGCTCCCCTCGGCGCGTACGCGAGCGCGATAACGATCGAGTAGAAAGAAGAGAGAGAGAGAGAGAGAGAGAGAGAGAGCAAGAAGAAATGTGCAAGTTCGCCGGTGCACCTACGAGAAATTCTCAGGTGCGTGAGAGATTCTCCACAGCGGTACGGCAGAGAGGTGTCACGCTCGGCTGAGCTAACACGACATTCCAGATTACGTATATAAGCCTGGCGGAATCGTTGCTCCGAAGGGAGCATCGTCCTGAGACGGCTGGCGTAATATCGCCGTCTTTCCCGAACACGGCGAATTATAATCGGACGTTATAACAGGAATGCGTGTGAATGATCGATGCGTAGACGGGGTAGACTCTTCAACGTTTATACGTGCGATCGTATAACGACGCGAGTCGTATTTCGGCTCTCGCGCGCGAGAGCGCTTATATCTATTATCGGTTCTTCAGGAGCGTCTTAAATGTACGATCATGCAATGTTATAAGTAAATTAGAGAATCGTATCTTTTTTTTTTTTTTTTAACTTAAGGTAGTGTGTTAAAATAAGAACGGCATAGATCCGCTCTCTGTACTGCTGTTCTTATTGGTCACGATATTGCGCGGTATCTTCTCGGCCGCGTTTCACGGAGGAGGAGGTTGCGAGAGGACGAATCTCTGGACGGACAGATCGAGGCTCATCGCGCGAACTACGAAGCGATCATATTACCGCCCGACCGGTGTCGAGCGCGTGAAAACTCGAGAAATATATTCCCCCGGTGTGTATATACCGGAATGTACCACTTTTCGACACATAACAGTAGTGAGTAGTATATGCGCGGCACACGGTGTAGTCGAGACACGTCGGGGTCTCTCTCTTTCTCATATAGAAATATACGGCGAGAGACATAACGGTCCTCTCTTCGCCACCTTTTGTGTCCGGTCGTGTTACGAATATACTCCTATACACACGTACTTACGTGTCGCGTGTACGACTGGCGCGCGCCGTCGGCATCGCCTCCGAAATCTGATTTAGTTACGCGCGCGGGATACAAAAGAGGAGAAGGAAAAAAAAAAAAAGAAAAGAAAGAACGCGCGCGACGCGGCGGGGTGTCGAGAGTCTCTCTCTATCGCGCGCATATCGTGAATTCGACACACGCGTGTCGGCCGTTTGCACGCAGTTCGCACGCCGTTCGCATGGCACGTCCTCGGAGCGAACTACGAGTCACGAGCCGACCGAGATCATCCGGAATACCAGGCAACGAGGCCATCCTGTAAGGATAAACCGAGTCCCGGTTCGCGCCGCGCGGTCGGGGAGGAGAAGCCGAGACATTTCGGTCTCTTCGTTCCCCATTCATCTCCGGCCTCGTGTATACGCGGCGCGATCCTCGTAGCCAATGATAATCAAGTGGCGCGCGATGAGCGATAAAAAAGAGGAGATCGCGAATTCCTTGCAGCACTTAGGGCGCGAACTCCGATTAACTTAATCGGCGATTAATAATCCAGCGCCGCGATAGAATTAATAGCACGGAACGCTCGAGAAAGAATATATATATATATATCTTCGACTATATGCAGTTGCTTGCCCCTAATTTCATCCTTTTTCCATATATACACGTCGCGAGGAGTAAAAAATTAATAATAATATTCTATCCACCTGTGCTACTTTTAACAGAATGACAGGTATTACGTGATAAGTTGATCGCCGCCGATTAAATTAATCGGGACTTGATCGTAATTACCCTAAGAGCAACTTCAGCTAAACTTTGATTAACTAGATCGGCGATTAAACGGAATTGGAGTCAATCTTAACAGCTACAGAAGCGTGACGCATCACGTCAAGCATGACGATGGAAAACGATGACAAAAAGGCAGACGAAATAGAAACGTTGCGAGAAATCCAATTTGTCACCGGAAGCAGATACGAAGGAACGTGGAATGCGATTGACAAGACAGGCATCGGCAGATACATCACGCCTTACAGTTAATCAATTTGCGCTTTTTCAAGGCCGAACGCGTGATTCTCAGATACACACGGAAAGAATGATTTTGCTGGAGTATCTATACATTTAGATAAATGACAATCTAAAAATAATTTTGTCGGGTCATCAAAATATAATTGAGAAACTCAAATATATAATGAGTGTATTACAAAAAAAAATTTTGACATTCTAGCAATCAGTTCGAGTTGTATATAATTATTTTATGTAGTCCAACATAATTTATTTTCAGATCTGTATCTATATAGTTGAATACTTATAGGATACTTCAGCAAAACCGTTCTTTCTGTGTGGGATCGTTATATCGCACCAAACTATAGCACTGATTGTTTGTACTCTTGTTTGTTGCCAGAAGTCGTGTTAGAGGGAGAATTCCGAGACGGTATGCTTCACGGTCATGGAAGTATGTATTGGCCACGTGGACAAAGAATGGACGGTATTTGGAATCGCGGAAAAATGGTGCAAAGACGCTATACGTTTGCAGACGGTTTATCGTATCGAGAAAACGATTGGGATTATTGCGTATATCCCGATAGGCGGTTAGCATCAGGTTCTTATAAAATAGCACCTGAGCGAGAATTCATCTCGCTTCGGTATTCATGAATAGTAAAAATATTGCATCAGATTTTATAACTGCATGGTGAACGGACTGAGACCAGCCGGAGAGGTACTGAAAACCAACGACCAACCTACTAAGATTATTCCTCCATACTGCTACGACACCGGTGCTGGAATGTTCGATCCAGATAATAATTGCATAACATCGTATCGCAATTGTAAAAAAGTAAAGATATATCACTTGACAGTGATAAAGATGTAAACAATGCATATGCATTTATTCTCGTGAAGGATAAGACGTAGGTTTGATTTAATATATTACAAAGATAGTCAAGATTCCAACGGCGACAGAAAGTGTATGGATAAAAGAAAACTGCCGGAAAGGCTGGTCAGAGCCGATTGGCTATCAGGAATGGTTACACGAATATTGGCAATCGGGAGCGGCGGATTTTTCAAGACATGTCTCGCCAAATGATGAAGCGGGAATTTGGTGGCAAAGGTAATCAAACACAAATATTGTCGGCTCTTTACCCCCTTTTTATTTATTTTGTTTAAATACAAATATTTTTAAGTATAACAATTTAAAATAACATGATACAATAAAATATTTAATGGAATATTATAGTTAATACTTGTTTTAATTACACTGTTTAAGACTGACAGAATTTGCCAGACACTCACCCGCTGACATGATGAATAAAAGTCGACTCGATTATATTTAATACAACCATCAAAAAGTTATAGAAAAAATATAGAATTAAAGATCGAAGCAATTAAAAATTAATACAATAATATTGATTACCTTATCTGTCATAACAAAGATAATCCAATTTTTAATTATAATATGTATTACAATATTGTGACATGGAATTTTTATTATTGGACACGTTACTTCTCTTTCTTTTATAATTGACAAAATTAATTATACTTACCAACATTGACAGAAACTTCCATAGAATTAAGAATATTGTTGTAACTTAATCGAGAATGTATGCAATAAAATTTAACTTATAATACCTTATATATTTTATATAACATTGAAAATCACCCGATCGGAGTCGAAACGTTTGTTTTAGATGATTATTTGAATTAAAATTGTTCGTTAAATTACTTGCTCTCTTCATATTTATACTGTTTTACATATATATATATGTATACCTGTTCTATGAAATTGTATATGTCACTTTAACTTATTGTATTAAAATAAAAATAATTATATATATATATATATATAA